GGTGGAGCCTAGAGAGGGCGGGGTCTGGGGAAGGGAGGGGTATGCTACAGAGTCCTCCTTCCAAAGCAGCCATTTTCTCCAGGGGAACTGATCTCTGTAACCTGGAGACCAGTTGTAATTCCAGGAGATCTCCAGCCACCACCTGCAGAATAATAACCCTACCCAGCATCCTGTCTCACACAGTGACCAACCATTTCCTACATTAATAACTAATTAATATTAAAACTACAAACCAGTACCTCTAAAGATTCAGCCATGAGCCCGAAAATCACACAGACAACAAAAAACTTCAATCAGTACTGAGGACAGAAGCCTATCAGTACACAGGGTGAACAATGGCTCCTTTAGGGCTGTTACAGGTCAGGAAAATGGTGCCCCATGGCTTAACTCCCCCCCTCCTTGCCACAAACTGCAGTTCCAATTCCAATTGGGCCCCCAACCAAAAATTACATTTCAGCAAGAAACTTCAAACATCCGCTTGACATGACCTATGGTGAACTCAGAAACAGTATTGTTAGTGAAAGAAACACTGAAACATGTTCCAGAATGCCTCCAAAACAAAAATCTTTTCCTAAAATCTGATATGGTGTTGTCCTCAGGCAGGCCATTCTTGATAAGGACAAGGCGACAAGAAAAAATGTCTATGCCTGGGCTGAGGGTGAGTGAACACCATTCAGGAGGGAACTGTGTGCAGGACCTGAGAAGTGACAAGCGACTGGCATCTGGTCACTATTAATTACCAGTGAAGTAGACATTTTATATTACAAAGTGGTTACTTTGTGGTATATACTTATCTAACAGATCACTTTACCAATGGAAGAAGAGGCTTAAGCAAATTGGAGGCTTTTTTAAAAAGAAAAAAATTACTGTATTTGGGGCAAGTGAATGAAACTAGTTAATTTTTCACAATTCTTTCCCTGCAAAGTATATAGAAAATATACTTTGTTTTCAAGATTTCTTATATACCACTAAATTTCTTCCTCAACAAATTCCATGCAGACACTGTATTTATCTGCACCCTACAGAACGAGGAAAAGATTGCATCCGCTAGATCATTTTCCATTCCTACAAAGGCTGTCTTTGATAATGCCCAATTACATGCAAAGACATAATTCAATTTTCCACTTGTTTGCAATTTGTGCAGATTCATATGCCAAGCCCTGAACAACCTCATTGTTTACAGCAGTTCAACGTGATCACTGTTGACTTATCACAGCGTTTTTACTTTTTAAAAACTGTAATAAAGTATGAGAGATAATAACATTAATCAACTGAGTCATATCACAAAATGGAACATCATCAACAGATTTGCTTTCTGGCTGCTAAAACTTGCAGTGCATTGTCTTATTTTAATAATGCTCCTCTATGGAGAAAAACCAATAAAATTGAATTGCCTCCATCATAAAACACAGAAAAGCCTTCTCTCCCATAGATATTGTTTCTGGAACAACTAAAGTAATTTTTATCCTGGCCTAATATAAGAATGTACATATACAACAATGACCAAAAGGACTAGAGGCTGCTCAATTATAGGAAAAAAATGCCCAGAAAAATGTCATATACTTCATAATCTGACATCAGTGAGCTTTTGAACAGTCACCAGTTTACCCTCAGCTTGGCCTGTCTGACAGGAAAACAGTGACCTTTGCATCTCTTTGATAATGTCACACAACTAAGTGACATCTAAGCCAGGAAATGGCAGTGCAGCCCAAGTAGAAAGAAAAGAGTCCCACTCTATACAAACCTAAGTGACAAAGCAGATGAATCCTTACACCCAATTGGGTTGGTATAATTGCTGTTCACATGCAATTCCAGGTCACAGCATCCTAGGGGTTGCCAGGAGTCCTGGTGAAAAATGTCCTGTCCCTTTAATAGAGGCATAATGGCATTTTATTTACCAGGTGATTTTATTTAACTCCATGAAAAGCTTCATCTGCCATTTTCACACATTAAGTCTCTCTTAAAGAAAGAGGAGATTTTTCTCCAGGTCTGCTGACAACCCTACAACATCCCTGCCATTAAAATTGTAGGTGGAAATCATTTTTAAAAGCATATATGAAATATAACCACCCATTTTTAAAAGATATTGAAAGCCCCACCACTTAGTACTTGAGAACACAGCAGGGACCTTACAACTGTGGCCCCTACTATATGGAATTCTTTTCCCCAAATGGTTCACCTGAGCCCAGGCTTCCAGTTCTTTTCTAAGCACTTGTAAAGTTTTTTTTCTTCTTCTTCTTCTTCAAAGAAAGGCATTCAGTTCATGTATTCAATTTTCAGTGAGTCCATGGTATTTGTTTTTAAGGTTTGGACTTTCTTTTCTGAAATAATTTTATTTTTTAAATAATGTTGCATTAGAATATTGGCATTAATCTGAGCCCTTTTCTATGAAGCTCCCTAGTCCTCCACTGCAGGGCAGGTTTTCACTAGGTTAATTGGTATTTACCTGTGGGCCCACTCCAAGTCTTGAACGAAGGAGGAAGCTGTGCAAATCTCCATATTTCATGAATGGGAGAATCACCATGGGCTTTGGAACCTGCTGAGAACTTGGTTCTATACACACACCTGGAAAGAATGCAAAGAAATTGGTAAGGCACTTTTATTTACTGGGGGCTAGAAATAATGAATGATGTTATCAGTCAAATAACAGCTGCTGGCCATAAAGGCCATAAAGTCAAATACAAACATATATAAAATAGGAAAAGATATGTCCGTAAAAATAAAATGACAGGATGGCAGAGGTAAACCAAATCACAATATTGTCTGTTGAGTACTAGCTAATACCAGAGGCTTACCGGGTAAACTCTTCATTCTACAGATTTCTTTGTGAATCAAACTCATTAACAGGACAACATTATGGAAAAGATACCCATCTCATCCATAACATTCTACCATATTATGTAGAACAGAAGGGAGGTCTATGTATGGAACAGAATGAAGAGGGACTGAGGTCATCAAGTCGTAGAACGGGTGTCAGGCTGCATGTTGTGGATCACATTTATTTATGTTCCCCTACTGCCTTCAAGTAAAAAACGAGATCAAGAAGGAGCAAGCTGGAATTAAACCTTTCCCCCCAGGCATGCTATATTACAATTAGCAGGGATTTGGGAGAGTGTTTATAAAGGATAATGTCTTCCACCTGCAGCCAATCTATCACACTGAAGACAATACAGACCAGAATGGCTGGGAATCCCTTGTTTGGGGGTCCATAAAAGCAGACCCCTTTGTTCAATTATCTTAAAACTTACGGAATTCTTTAGAAGAGGGTGTGGACTTGGTACCGTGCAATTTTGGCATCATTTACTCTAAAAATACTTGCTCCAGAACCCCAGAAAGCTCCTCTATTCCACCCGAACTTTTTTGTGGAACCTCCCCCCCCCCCCAATTCCGGAAAGTTCCCTATTTCTGCCTTTCATTCTGTAAATACGCAGAATGACTCAAAAAGCCATTTTTGGGTATATTTTGGTCTCAATCCCCGCGAAAAGAAAAGCAGCGGGGGGGGGGATGGGACAACAAAGTTTCAAGGAGGAAAGCAGCTGGCAAAAAAATGGCTAAGAGTCCCCTGCCTGTTCGCCATTGCAAGTTGATCTCTTTATGTGATGGGCTGACTTCACATGTGGATGCAGAGGAATTAGTGGTTTCTCTGTAAAATGACAAGAACTATTGCTAATTTTCACAAGATCTGGATCTTTCCAGAAGTAGCTAAAATAGTTTAATAACAAGCTACCAGTGCATAACTGTGGGCAGGGATGCTTTACAATGCAAAGTCTAGTAATAAATTAGCAATAAAGTACTTGCAGGATACTTTGCTCTTGTATGCCCTGTGCCCAGTAGTAGAACATTTGCTCTGCATAGACCAACTTCACAATAAATTCTTCCCCAGATGTCCCCAGGTCTGATCAACAACTGTAATCTGGGAGTTCCACAGTCCCCAGGTGCATGTGGACCCAATTTACATTGGAACCACAGTATGTGGGAAGAGGGGGCTTCAGACATTGTCTTCATGACCTGATATAGCCCCAGAAGGCCACCACTTGCTCTGGTGAGAAAACCTAACGTGCACACACATTTCAGGTTAGGAAAAATGTACATGGTGGGGGGAAGGTATAAGTACTGCAGTTCCAGTCCAAACTGGGTCTTCACATATCTATGAAACATGGAGCCTACAAATCACATACATTACTTGAACGCAACCAGGAAAAAAGTGTATCATATAATTAGGCCCTGGCATCTTCAGTTTAAAGGATCTCAGCTAGCAGGCATTATAAAAGGGCTTTTCTCTGCCACAGACCCAGGAGAGGTGCTGCTAGTCAAAGCAAATGATACTGTCAAAACAGTGGGCTGATGATATAAGGCACCATCATATGTTTCCTAAGCCTGCACAAATACCTTCAAAGTTTAACTTCCTCCTGCTTCTAGGTCCCTATTTCAAACTATCTTGAGGACCAACTTCACTGAGAAAAGGCAGTTTGTTGGGTGGGCAGAGATAATAACCCTTGGTTATGCTATGCATAAGCGCTAGTAGCCCACAACTACTAGCTGTCGGTTGACCCACCGAGAAGCTTGATGACATTGGGATGGTCAAAATCTTTCATGCATGCTGCTTCCCGAAGGAATTCTTCAATTTCTCGTTGGGAAAAGCTGTCCACTGAAAACAAAAAAAGGTTGCGTTAATAATCCAGAAGTTTCTTTTTAATTGCATCATGTCCTTTTGCCTTCCATTTCCTTATCTGTAGACTGGAAGCAGTAACATGCCCTGAATAGATAAAAAGAACAGACCATCCCTTGGGGATTGATGTAAGAAGGTCATTCTGGAGGAAATGGAAAACACATTTTATCTCAAGTTTATGCAGGGTCAGCAAGTGTTGAATTTTCCAAAACAGAGTTGCTACTTCAGCAACATTTTTAGAGCAATTTCTTAGATTATTTTATTTGCATCCCACCTTTCTTCCATAGAGTTGAAGGCAGTGTATAATGAGTACTCAGTACATCTAAAAGAAAACTGTGTGGAAAGGGACACTACAGTAGCAAAAGCTAAATAGTAGAGCCTACAAAAGCTCAATTTACTAGGATTTTACAAAAATACAAGAAATTCAACAGGTAAACTCAAGGAACCAACAGGTAAGTATAGTATATACATACCACAGGTAAATTCAGTATAAATAATTCAAGAAAAATCCAATAGGTATTCAGTAATCAAATAAATAGGTATGAGTACAGGTACATTCAGTAATACAACAAGTAAATATGATGCAGTAATCCAACAGGTAAGTATAATGATAAGTACATGCAAAAAATAAATAAATTTAACAGGTACATTCAGTAATCCAACAGGTAAGTATAATACAGTAATTCAACAGGTAAGTATAATGTACAAAGGCTCCGGATATTCAAAACTTCATTTCAAAAGTCTTCCTCAGTAGAGACTGATACTAATATTCAGAGGCATACCAGCAACTAAAGAAAATGGAGTTGTTCCCTAGCATATGCTGACTGGTCGCCAATTAATAGACTTATGCTGTTCCACTAAAACTTTTTGGAAAGCAGTTTTGATGATATCTACCTCAGAACTTTTTGAACAATTCTCTCATGGAATATTAGTATCAGTCACTTCTGAGGAAGACTTTCAAAATGAAGTTTTGAATATCCGGAGCCTTCGTCCATTATACTTATCTGTTGATTTACTGTATTATACTTACCTGTTGGATTGCTGAATGTATCTGTTGGATTTATTTATTTTTTGTATATAATCACTATACTTAAGTTAACTGTTGGATTAGGTAAAGGTAAAGGTTTCCCTTGCTCGAAAGCCAGTCGAGTCCAACTCTAGGGTTGCGGTGCTCATCTCCGTTTCAAAGCCGAAGAGCCAGCGCTGTCTGAAGACGTTTCCGTGGTCATGTGGCCGGCATGACTAAACACCAAGGCGCATGGAATGCTGTTACCTCTCCCATAACTGTTGGATTACTGCATCATATTTACCCGTTGTATTACTGAATGCACCTGTTGAATTAATTTTTTGTACTCATACCTACTTATTGGATTACCGAATATACCTTTTTAATTTTTCTTGAATTATTTATATTGAGTTTACCTGTGGTATTGATATACTCTACTTACCTGTTGATTCCTTGAGCTTACCAGTAGAATTTCTTGTCTTTTTGTAAAATCCTAGTAAATTGAGCTTTTGTAGGTTCTACCATTTAGCTTTTGCTACTGCCCTTTCCACACAGTTTTCTCTTAGATAATTACCTTCACTGTGTGATTGCTTATACGGTTTCAACTACTCAGTACCTCTCCCATCTAGGCACTGATGAGACCCTGGCCTGCTTTGTTTTAGCAAGGCCACTGTTTCATAGTTGATGCATCAAGAGTGTTGCCTTCACATTGTACCCTGGGCTGAAATTATAAACTAAGACCTCTTGGTCTGGGGCAAGTGATGCTCTGTATTCTTGGTGCTTGGGGGGGGAAGTTCAATGTTTGGACCCATGTGGAACCCATGTATTTTAAAAAAAATTTACATTAATGAAAATATTTCACTATTTCATTCTGTTTTCTTAATTGACAAAACCCAACCCGTATACATATCCTCAAATAAGGAACCGCTATGTGTTCTGGTACAATAAGGACATGCATGGCCACCCATTTGATCTGTGGCTACTGGATTTTAACCCAGTTTTTCCAAGTCTAAAGTTCAATGTTTGGACCCATGTGGAACCATGTATTTTTTTAAAAAAATTACATTAATGAAAATATTTCATTATTTCATTCTGTTTTCTTAATTGACAAGACCTAACCCGTATACATAACCTCAAATAAGGAACTGCCATGTGTTCTGGTACAATAAGGACATGCATTCCTTCATGAATCTGCAAAGCAAGAGGCACTATCGAAAGGTAACGGAGAAATGTAGCCCTATGCTTGAGTATGTGGAATTGAATTGAATACATATACTTCCCTAGTCAATCTTCTCTCCCATCTTCCTCATTCTATAATCTCTCAACTTTTAGATTACAAGCTCCTTGGGGCAAAGATCTTAGCCTTCATAATTACTGTGTAAAATTTCTGCACACTGGTATCAATTATTATTTTTGATGGTGTTTCAATGGCACTGAAGGAGTTCACTGATCACTAGACTTTTGATAAAGGTAAAGGTAAAGGTAGAGGTTCCCTTGCTCAAAAGCCAGTTCCTCTCAACTTTTAGATTACAAGCTCCTTGTGGCAAAGATCTTAGCCTTCACCATTACTGTGTAAAATTCCTGCACACTGGTATCAATTATTATTTCTGATGGTGTTTCAATGGCACTGAAGGAGTTCACTGATCACTAGACTTTTGATAAAGGTAAAGGTAAAGGTAGAGGTTCCCTTGCTCAAAAGCCAGTTGAATCCGACTCTAGGGTTGCGGTGCTCATCTCCATTTCAAAGCCGAAGAGCCAGTGCTGTCCGAAGACATTTCCGTGGTCATGTGGCCGGCATGACTAATCACCAAGGCGCACGGAACGCTGTTACCTTCCCACCGAAGTGGTACCTATTTATCTACTTGCAGTTTCTTGCTTTCGAACTGCTAGGTTGGCAGGAAGACTGCTTTCTGGCTTTCGCAGGAGCAACCACCAAACTAACCCCAGTGATAACATACCTTGGACACTTTCAGATGAGAAGTCTTCAGTGAGTGAGCTCATTAAAAAAAGTACTCCTAACCCCTTTGGTTTTCTCTGGCTTGTTGGATGCCATTTCTTTGGGTGCCATTTCTTTGGACTTTGGATGCAATGTAGTAAATTCTCAGTAATAATCTCTGCTCTACTGCCCAGCTATTTAGAATTCCATACCTCAAGGAATCTGAATTTTTTAAAAAAATCCCAGATCCCTTGCTACTTACACTTCATGGTTTTCACAGCTACTTTCTGAGTGGATCCGTCAGGATTGCTGAGGCTGCCTTCCATCACTGATCCAAACTCCCCTGCATGAATGAAAAAAATAATCCGCATCTCTCCCGACCTCCAGAATCACACCATCCAACACAATGGGCAGTTTCCTTATGAAAGGGATTCTAGTATCACGGCTGTCCTAAAGATTGGAGAAGATCACAGGAATAGGCCCTCCTTACTCTCCCATCAATCAAAGAAGCTCCTCTGGTGGGTACACAAGAGAGGGTCTTTTCAGTGGCGGCAGGCCCACAATTATGGAACAACCTCCCCAGGTAGGTGTGCCTGGCTCTCCCACCTTTGATATTCAGGAGGCAGTTGAAGATGGTTTTCTTTACAAGCACATTTGGTTAAGTTTAGTAGCAATTCTCAGGTGTGACGTGGAGGTTGCAGGCGTGGCTGGAGTCGGAAGCGGATGTGAGTTGGAGCCGGAGCTGACACGGACCGTGCTCTAAGGACGGGCCCCCAAAGAAAGCCACCACAACAAATGAAAGACCGACACTAGAATGGAAGTGCCGATCCGAAGACCGCCTGGAAGGGAGGAGCTGAGCCAAGCCGGAGAACAGCAAGCCCTGCCACCTGGGTGCCGGTAGGCAGCCCCGTCCCTGTACTATGTGGCCTTAGATAGGGTAGTAGCATTTGCAATGTATATGTGAACCGCCCAGAGACCCTTTGGGGTCAGGGCAGTATATAAGCCAAATGTATAAATAAATAATATAAATAAATAAATTCTGAGCAGTGATTTTAAAGCCCCATGTGTCCTTATGTCTTAGTTTTGTCTTCTTGAGACACCCTTTGGAGCTGCTGTTGGCTACATTCGTGATGTTTATGTTATTTATGTTTCCCAGTGGAGCAAATAGCAGTTCTGCAGGGTGCTTTAAGAAGGGGGGGAAAGCACGAAGGGGAAGATAGCCACTAAATCCGCCTTTGCACACTGCGTGTGAGAAGAAAAGGGCTTATGTGAATCTGAGAGTCACAAAAAAATCTGATTCAGCATCCTTGTGTCATTGCAGAGAGGCCCAGATTGTAGTACTATTAAGGATGAAAGGTTATATGAACCTGTGAGTCACTTCTGAAGTTCACCACATCCTAAACACACTTGCAAAGGTGTTTTAACATACAGTGAGCCATGATCCCAGCCTGTGTGCATTCTCAAAACCAGTTTGCCAAAATGAAATCACCCAACAAGCCAAGTCAGGGTCATCTTACCATATAAGCATTAAATAAAATAGCAAATTTGTTGGCCTATTTCAAAAAGCAAGAATTCAAAAAATCTTTTATGAGCCAACAGGCCAAAATAACACATGACCAGGCCCACGGTAGGCTGGGATGTAATGCACAGCACTATTAAAGTATAGTGAAGTGAGTATAAGATTTTTTTAAAGGAACTGGACTGCCAAATGTTTCTGGGATGCTTACCCTCTCCCAGGATCTTCCCCAAAGCCAGGTTGTTCCTGACAATCACAACATCCTGGAGTTTCTTCTGCAGCTCTTCACTGACACCAAGGCTGCCCACTGTAAGAGAGTGACTTTGAGTGAGACAGGAAAAGGGACAGAGCATAGATATCAGTTATCACATGCCTGAGACAACAAAAGAAGAGGAGAAGAAGAAAGAAGAGATTGGATTTATACCCCGCCCTTCACTACCCGAAGGAGTCTCAGAGTGGCTTACAATCTCCTTTCCCTTCCCCTCCCCACAACAGACACCCTGTGAGAGAGCTCTTTTGAGGACTGCTCGTGAGAGAACAGCTCTGAAACAACTTGTAACTGACCCAAGGTCACACTAGCAGCTGCATGTGGAGGAGTGGGGAATCAAACCCAGTTATTTCCGATTAGAGTCCAGCTGGTACAGAAGAAAACTAGTTTTCATTTATATTTAGTGAAGTGCCAAACTGTACATACTGGAGGGCTTGATATATCACTTGGCGTATGAATCATCACAGATTCCCATTTTCCAATAGCAAATCAGACTGACTTCATTTTGGAAAACGGTCAACACAAAGCTACAGCAAAGGGCCAGGAAATTAGGAATCAACCAGTTGCTAATCAATTTTTTAAATGCAAAAGTTCCTGTGCCCTGACCTGGATAGCCCAGGCTAGTATTTGGATGATCTCAGTTCTCAGAGGTTAAGGATGGTCAGCCCTGGCTAGTATTTGGATGGGAGACCTCCAAGGAATACCAGAGTCATGACGAAGAGGCAGGCAATGGCAGAACCACCTCTGAATGTATCTTGCCTTGAAAACTCTACAGGGTTGCCATAAGTCAACTGTGGCTTGATGGCACTTTCCACCACCAAAAGTTCTTATTGATTCCGTAATTAGATGGATTATTTCATAAATCTTCGAGTTAGTGGCATTGTTAAGGGTTGTTTTGGCTGTTTTGTTTTTTTGTACACAGCTGGAGTGACAAACTCTAAAACTTACATGTCAGTTCAACAGCTCTACGGCAGTAGGACTTCTTTGCTTTGTAAGTGACTGCTGGCTCTGACTCATCACTGCTGAAAGCATACCTAATGGGAGGAGAGAAAAATACAGCATCATAAATGTCCTCCCAATTTATTCCCATCATCTTGAATTCTTCAGGCCAGCTGCAGCTGCACAAAAAGCCAATGCCTTTCTTGTCAGAGAGCTGTCACAGACAGGTGGTTGGCTGACAATGAATCAAAACAATGCAAGAGGAAAGGAAATACCAGCATTCCCAGTCATGTTCCATTTTTCTTGTCTCTGTGTTACATAATACACCTGTTTCCAGCATTTGATCATAATATACCCTTGGTAAACTATGCTCACCTATAAAAATGTTGAGTCACTCAAACCGTGGGTGTGGGTTATGGGACACACTGCCCCACCGACGCCAGTTATTCACTTCCTATTCCTATAACTGTATTTATTTGTGGCAATGTAAAACCTATGAACTTTCACTTCCGTTCACTGTTTTCCCCTACATGACTTACCAGTCCAAGGCCTGAAAAAGAAACCAAGACCTTTTGAACTGTAACATGAACAGAGATCAGTATCCTGGCATCCATTTATCTGGTCAGCTCTTTACTTCCACTGGTATGAAAAATCTCTCTGCAGGAGCAAAATGGACACAAGCTCTGCCTCGATTTCAAAAATTACCTCCTCTTCCTGACACTGAATTTCTTTTCTTCAGAGACCCTGAGGAAGAGGTTAAACACTTCAAATTTAAGGCCAAACCCTGACACTTGGTAGCTATATTTATGTGAAGAACCCTATTACTGCAGACTGCGCAGGGCCATGCTAATCTTCTCTGTATCGTTCCAATTTTAGTATATGTGCTGCCGAAGCGAGCACATGCAGACAATATAGGCAGAAGAAGAACGTAAACTCCAGAAACAGTGGTAAAGCATACACACCAACTCTGTTGATGTCTCAGTTTTCTCATATTTATGTGAAGAACCCTATTGCTGCAGACTGGTCAATATAGGCAGAAGAAGAAAAAGAACGTAAACTCCAGAAACGGTGGTAAAGCATATACACCAACTCTGTTGATGTCTCAGTTTTCTGGCATCCTTTTGGGACTTAAAATTTGCCTTTGAATGTTTTTGTTATTGTAAGATGCCAGCTGTCATTCTTCAGGTTAAATCTCGGGGTGGGGGATGAATCCTGTCTCTAGTGCACACACAAGCAGACATAAGCATTAAGTTGCCGTATTATGCACAACTTGCCATTTCACATCCTGCAGCTAAAGAAGTTCATTATGAATTGCTGATTACATAATATAGGAATCTCTTTTCCTAATAGTTCTTTTAACTAAAAGACCATAACCCTATTGATTTCCAAAGTAGCTCAAACAGGTTAATGTAAAGCTAAAGGACAAAGCATGTAAAGTGACTTCAGCAATAGTTAAAGAGTTAATAGTGACAGGCTGCTGGGGAGTCACTCTGGCTGTGATCCTTTTGTGAGGAATATTACAAGTACACAAGAGTGTCCCAAATTTGCCTCCATGCTGGAAAGGAGATGGATGGCATGACTGAATTTTCACTATTTAGGGTACGCCAATCTCCAGTTCTGAGATATTTACTACCTATGTTGTCCCGTCCCCCCAGTTGAACCCAAACAGATGATAACCAGAAACCAAGCTTGTCATTCTTTTTATCTGTTAAAAAACATCTTCACTATTTTGCATGCTAATTTAACAAGCCACCATCTATATATACAACTATGATCTGTAATCCCATTTCATTGTCTAACAAAGTGTGCATGCACATGAAAGCTCACACCTTGAATAAAACTTTGTTGGTCTTAAAGGTGCCACTGGACTTCCAAATTTCACCTGTGAAGGCATACTACGGTGGACAACTCCACTGAATGTGAGAAATGCTGATGTCATTCTTGAATGCCTCCTACAGAAACACTCTCTGCAAGTGAAATACACTGGGAAGAGTGGGTCTAAGAAAACAGATATGCCAGTTTTCTATTTCTGTGGAAGTTTAAAATGTGCTAATCTGACCATTATAGTATTAAATATATTATTAGGAGGTAGAACAAGACCTCACTGTTGGAGTTGCATTTCCCAGTCATTTCTGTCTCTCTCACTATTATTACAACAATAATCAGCGTGTTTTACCAGCTAGAAACAGGGCTATTTTGGGGCAGGAACACACAGGAACGGAGTTCCTGCTTGCTTCAGAGTTGGCCACACCCACTACAGCCAAAACCTCTGCATGCGTGGCTACAGAGGGAAGGCCTGGAGAGCGACCCCCCCTCCCGGCAACTCCGAGGCGGGCAGGCCAGGGAGGCCCCTGGAAGGATCGGGGAGGCATTTAAATGTCTTCCCGTGCCTTCCTGGCCTGTCCAAGGGCCGGCTTGCCTGGGCTCCCCGTAGCTGCAGCGTGCCCAGGCAAGCCAAGGGAAAGCATGCTAATGAGCTGTGTTGTCAGGGGTGTGGCCTAATATGCTAATGAATGTCTGCTGTTGGGTGTGGCCTATTATGCTGATGAGTTTCTGCTGGGCTTTTTCTACAAAAAAAGCCCTGGCTAGAAAATAAAGTAAATGGGAGGTCTGTCTGTCTGTCTATCGTACACCTATACAAAATTCTGCATTTTACAGGTCACAAACATGATCCTCCAACTGCAGTGGGAAGTGGTACAGTCTACCGCAGGACTCTACCACCTCATTATGCTACATGTGTAGCCAAGATCAAGTAACAGTTGGGTGACTTGTGGAGTCTGTGGATCTAGCCATGAAATTCTTTGCAGAATAACTCTAGTCTGAGCCCACTGCAAGTTCCAACAAATCACCCCCCGCCCCCCCAAAAAACCTGCATAATATAGCTGGCACTTTAATACATTTTGGATTATGTATTTATGCTTCTCAAGGACTTGTGTGGTCATTTAGTCTACAAGAGTGTAACCATTAGAGCAGAGGAACAACCCCATAAACTGTTGCATAAGTTTGAAGAAAAAGAAAAATAACAGCATCACAGTAAGGTTTCAGAACTGCTGAATTCCCTGAAGTGTGTTATGAAAAAATGTTTTCTGTACCATCATAATGGTTGGTTGTTTCAAAAGGCTTTGTAACTAAAGGGCAGACGCAGTTCTGTTCGGAGCTTCATTGTATAAAGTCACAAGGGAATGAGTTCTGTGAACCAGGATTACAATGGAACTTTGTTGGCAGTATAAAACAATTCATTAGATTATACAACACAGCAGAAAGTGGAGAACTCATTGGAGAAAACATTAAGGATTAGAACTAGTGTGTGTTATAGCCCAGGAGACTAACCGTCACACAGCACAAGCTGTTCCATTTCCAGTGAGCTGTGTCGCATGACCTGCTGTAGACCCGATTGCTGGTGACAGTATCACTCCCAATTTTACAATCAACAATGGCTTGGATCCAGTGCAGCACTTTTCATAGGCAGAAGGATTTCCAACCACAGAATGTGACCTGTTTTTGCACCCTCCCCCCGCTGCGGCCCAAAATGCCCCCAAATGCTGCTCTTGGGGTACCTGAGGAACAGCATTTCAGGGGCATTTCCAGCTGCAGTGGAAGACAGGAGACAGGGAAGTCACTCTCTGTAGGTGAAGATCCTTCTGCCCATGGAAACATCACGCTGGATCCAAGCTACTGACAAATTTCCTTCAGAAGGTTTATCCGTTAGGCCCATTTTTTTAAATTAAATTTTCCAACATATACAGCAACAAAACAAAACAGCCTTAACATGAGATTTCTACGAAGTAAAGTCATGATATACAGTTATATTATTGCAAGAATATAGAAATCATTCAAAGTTAACAAAAATAATAAATAACATTAACACCAATTTGTTCAATAAGTAATTATATCAATATATTTTTCAGGGAGGCTACAACTCTTGTTTTCTGAATTATTAACAAAATCAAAAAAGGGAAACCATTTTTCCAAAAATATATTTTTCTTTGACATTACTTCTGCCATCCAAATTTGTGATGCTAATTTGTCCATAATGGTTTAATTCCCATACCTTGATAAACCATTGGTGGGCCGTAGGAGCTTTGTTAAGTTTCCACATTGGTGCAATCAAAGTTTTTGCAGCGCTTAATAAAATTGCAGCTAACTCCGCTTTTAATTTAGTTAGCCGTAAAGAAGGTGTTAGGCCCATTTTAATCACCAGGTACCTGAGCCTTCCTTGGTGGGGAGGACGCGGTAAAAATCAAATAAATAAACAAATTTGCTGAAATTTTAACTTAAAAAGTGAGCCCTCAGATGCTCAAAATACCCCAGTTAATTTAAGCATATACCATAGTCTGTGAATGTTTTCAAATTGTTTGTCTAGTCTGCTTCTAGCCTGTGGACTATTTTAAGACGATCATTTCATGCTGCTAAATACTTTGTGCTGGTTTTGTGTTCTTGGTGGGCTTTTAATATTGGCCGGTTTCATGTTTTCAGCAATTTTTTATGTTTTTCATCACATTTTACTTTGTAAACTGTCTCAAGTAGGCTCTCTAGAGAGGTAACATACATTTTCTAAACTAACCAATGTATGTACATATGTGTGTTTGTATAATATTCGCTGAGATTTTCTTACGAGGGAGCATTTTCATCTTTTTTTTTTTGTGTGTAGTTTAGGTTTGAAGGAAATAGGCTCTCTTCCTCCATAAATCACTGGATTCTTTTTGGTGAAATTTAGTCATGCAGTAGAATGATGTATAGGAGATACGGCTGACAGTAGCCTTGATACCTGCATCTATGGCTTCTCCTGTCCATTCATTCCCCTTCAGTAATTAACAGAGGGAGGGAAGGAGGCATGGTATAGCCCAGTCTCATTAGAACGCGGAAGCTAAGCAAGGTCAGTATTTGGAAGGGAGATCATCAAGGAAGGCTCTGCAGAGCAAGGTAATGGCAAACTACGTCTATTTCTCACTTGCCTTGACAGGGTGGACGATAGAACATAATGAAGAATGGCCATAGCCACTAAGTCTCCTGTTATACAGCATTGATAAGATTTCTGGGTTTAAACCTGGCAAGCCAAGTAGGCTAGCGGCGACTATACAATTAGAGCCCCCTC